GGAAACATCTCAGATTGAGATTTAAGAATAATAAAATTTAAGAAATTTTGAAGCTCTTGAACTGAAAAATGTTCTTTCATTTGCTTTTTTCGGGTTCTTACAGTTGTAAATAAATCTTTGTAAATATTGTTACGCGCTCAAGTCAACGATACACTAGCGCCTTCTAGTGTCAGGAACGAGAGCGAGGGGAGCATTGAGAAAATGACATCACAAATCACTCAACCGACAGCGCCTAGTTGAAACTCGAACGCTCGGTACCTTGCGTGTGTTTACTTGAACATTCTGGATATTTCTTTGCTAATTTAAATATATAGGCGCTGCAAGATGCGATGGGAGCAGAGTTGAACTCGGCGACACAAGCGAAGCTTCGGAGCGGAACTAAGTGAATTAGTGTGTTTAATTATTAGTGTTTTTAGTTTTAATTTGTGTAAAGTAAATTAAAGTGTTAATTTACGTAATTTTATCGGCAATTTTTATTGTCACGAACCTCAAGCTCGTAACAATATGCTATAGTGTTTTGTAAGTTTGTTAAATTAGATTTGTTTTTGATTTAGTTAGATATTAAGTTTGCATTAGAATTGTTAATCGCGAAGGAACAAGTAATCAACTCTGGTAGATCCTGTTTCACGCCGACATTGGGCATTTGTGGCCAATTAGTTTCAATGTCTGTTAAGAAAGGTGGCCCTGACCACCACAATGATGAGGTCAGCCTTCAGCCCACGAGAAACAAGATCCGCCGGATTGTCCGGATTGTACCGGATTTCGACGGTACGTAGCTCCACGTGTGACCCTCTGTGCATTCCTGAATTTCATGTACACGATTCCTTACGAAACTTTTAAGGTTAGTAGGTGGTGTTTTTAACCACCCTAAAACAATAGTTGTCACACCAGAATCTACACTTGCTGATATGTAGTGTTAAAGAGGTTAATACTTTGTTACATAGTCTTGCAGCCACTAACGATCCGCAAAGTTCAAGGCGCGGAATAGTTGTTGGCTTTATTGGCGCTACCTTGCTCTTAGAAGTCAAAAGTTGTACTTTGATAGAGCCTGATGCTTCTATAGAGCGAATGTAGACGCAAGCCCCATATGCTCGCTCAGAAGAGTCTGAAAACACATGAATTTCATGGAATATTGAATGGTCTTGAAGTACCCACCGAGGAACCTTTAAGTGGTTAAGAAGTGGTAAGGTGTCGGCGAACGAAAACCATGAACGTTTTATTTTCGTTTAAACCTCATCGTCCCATGAGCATCGTTCGATCCATAGCCTCTGCATGAGCTTTGCTTCGATGACACAGGGGCCCACGAGACCCAATGGGGCGAAGATCTGACTTATAACGGAAAGTATGTGACGTTTTGTCACTTTGTCACGAAGTTCGATATTGATTGAAAATGACAAAATGTCTAAATCGCAAATCCAATTTAGACCTAAAGTTTTAGAAGAACCATTACTATCGCTGTTTGCTATGTCTAAGACGTTATCTGATTGTAATGAAGATGAAACGTGACGTAAAATTAATTTGTTGTTTGATTGAAATTTGCAGTTTTAAGTGTATTAACAACTCCTTTGAACAGCTTGATAGAGTCGTCAATAGTCGACGACCCGCCTAAATAATCATCAACGTAAAAATCGCGTTGAATCGACTGCTTTACGTCGCTATCGAGAGCACTAGATGCTAAGCTCACCAAACACTTCGTGGCTAAGTATGGGGCAGACGCCGTACCAAGTTTAGCTAAGTCACCGTGTTTAAGGTGTACGTTTTTAACGGCTGTGATGAGTCATACCTAAATATGATTTGTTGAAGTGAGCGTTGGGCGGGATTAAGCTCAATCGCTCTGTACATTTTCACTATATCTCCAGTAATGACGTATTTATGCTGGCGAAAACGTAATAAAATAGAATAAAGGTCTTCTTGTACGGTCGGCCCTACCATTTGAATGTCGTTAAGCGACAATCCAGAACTAGATACGGCGGAAGCATCGAAGACTGAGCGAAGCTTGGTGGTAAGGCTGGACTCACGGATGACTCCGTGGTGAGGTAAAAAATAATTGACCTGTTGTAAACCGCCAAATGAAGACTCTTTGTTCTCAGTCATGTGACCTAGGCGTTCATATTCGTGCATGAACTCCATGTACAGATCCTTAAAAACAGGCTCCCGAAGAATATTGCGCTCTCTCAATAATAAGATAAGAAACGGCCCTTGGCCATTTGAAAGGATTCTCCTAAAACTGACGGATCGTCCTTTAGCGGCATGGAGACGACAAAGCTAGCGTTCTCGCTGCGTACGGTGTTTGTTAAAAAGCTCTGCTCGCAGGCACGCTCCTCAGGAGACAAAGAGTGTTTTGCTGCCACAGTGTCTAACTCCCAACAACGAGTTAAGTCAGGATTGGAATCCTCGCATATAAAGTGACAAACGGGAGACGAAGACGGTGCCTTAAGACGGGCGACATGCCCGGACACCAGCCAACCCAGTTTTGTCTCATACAACTTAGGCTGATTTTTGCCCAAGTCAATGGAATTATTACATAAGACAGACCAAAATACTTCGGCATCCACTAAGATGTCTATAACCGACGGTATGTTAAAGGAAGGGTCGGCTAAATTTATTCCCATCGTAAAGGAATATTTTGTATGTCTATGAAAGAAGACGGTAAAGCTTTAGTGATCTGAGGCAAAATAAGGCAGTCTACAGTAAGGCTATAGTCATTACATACATACATACATATAATCACGCCTCTTTCCCGTAGGGGTAGGCAGAGACCACTTCTTTCCACTTGCTACGATCCTTACATACTTGTTTCGCTTCGTCTACTTTCATTATTCCCTTCATACATGCTCTACGGTTTAGGGTACTCTTAACCTGGCCTTTTTTCAAGACGTCCCTAATTTGTTCTAGAAAAGTCCGCCTAGGTCTACCCCTTCCAGCACTTCCATTCACACTCGCCTTATACACTTTTTTCGTCAATCGTTCTTCATTCATTCTCTCGATGTGGCCAAACCATCTCAGCATACCTTTCTCAATTTTTGTCACTACATCTTCTTTCAGACCACAACGTTTCCTTATCTCACTATTTCTTATCCTGTCACTCAGTTTAACTCCTATCATACTTCTTAATGCTCTCATCTCAACTGCATTTATTCTACTTTCATGTTTCTTCTGCCATACCCAACTTTCACTTCCATACATGAGTGTCGGAACCAACACCCCCTCATGCACAGCCAAACGAGCCTTGTTAGACACTTTCCGACTGCTCATAAAGGAGTGCAAAGCTCCATTCACCATGTTTCCTGCATTCACTCTTCTTTCGATATCACTCTCACACTTTCCATCTCTTGTAAACTTTGACCCCAGATACACAAACTCTTTCACCTGTTCAATTTGTTCATCTTCAATCACGATATTGCAGTCTGTCACTGCCTCATCTTTTTCAAACACCATCACTTACGTCTTCTTTACATTCATCTTCATTCCCTTTCTAACAAAAGCTCCACTCATAGCAGTTACCATCTCCTGCAACTCCTCGGCCGAAGACGCAAGTAATACTTGGTCGTCAGCATAGAGAAAACATTTGACGAGTAACTCATTCATTCTCAACCCACTTTCATTCTCTTTTAAATTTGTCATACAATTGTCCATGAACAGATTAAACAGCCACGGTGACGCTACACATCCCTGTCTAACACCTTTTTCGATATTAAACCATTCAGTGTATGCCCCGTTTATCCTTACACAAGCACTAGAATCCCCATAAAGAGATTAGAGAGATTAGAGATTAAAGAGATATAGTCATTACGAAGCGACTTAATGTTAAGGCTGCAAGACTGTGTAATATGAGATGAATTACTGTTTATACCTGTCACCGTGGAGCTCACGCTACGTCGCGACAAACCCAGCTTACCGCAGAGCGATTGAGTAACGAAGTTAGCCGTGCTGCCATAGTCAAGCAGCATGCGGGCAGAGTGCGCGGCGCTGGAGCCGTCCAGCACCTTCACCAGCGCTGTGGAAAGCAAAACAAGCAGAGCAGTAGCTACCTGCTTTGACTCGCTTGAATTTGCGAAGTGGTTAATGCTGCTGGTTGATGGCATAGCAGGCTCAGGGATCGGCTGTGACTCATGCAAGTGCAATAGCGTATTATGCCCTTTCTTGCAATATTTACATGAAGATAAATTGCAATTATTTTCTAAATGCCCAGGTCGTAAACAATTAAGACAGACGTTTGACTCTTTAGCCTTTTGTATACGAATTTCAATAGGAAGGGCTCTCAATGTTTCACAGGTGAATAGAAAATGATTTTGATTACACAATGGGCATGTAGATATTTTTTTATTAAATAAGTTGTTTTTTATTGAAGTTTTGTTTTTCCCTTTGAGTGTTTGTAGCTATAAGTAAATTTGTATTAGTTTTGTAAGTTTAATATTTTTGTGGTTTATTTTTACTTTCTTGCAAAGTCTCCAAAAGGTCTGCCCTATTGCTGAGAAAAGTCGTAAAGGTTTCTAACGAAGGAGGATTATTAAGAGTATTTCTATATTCTTCCCATTCTCTATGAGTGACACTATTAAGTTTTTCAGCCATCATGTGAATTATGAGTGTATTCCAATGTTGTGTCGGCTGGTCTAGGGTGGTCAAGGCGCGAAGATTTTTATTCTTAACGTCAATAAGGCGTCGAATACCCTTGCAGGATTCATTGCGCATATGCTCCACATTAAATAGTTCCCTTACGTGGTTATTAACCAGTAAGCGTTTGTCGTCGTACCTGCAACACAATAAATTCCACGCAGAATTATAGTTTTCGGCTTTGAAATCCAAGTTATCGATAACAAGCAAAGCGCTACTTCTAACAGATGCGCGAAGGTAATGCAGTTTATTAATGTTATCAATATCTTGTCTCGAATGTATTAAAGATATGAAAGTGTCCCTAAACTCAAGCCAGTGTTGATAGTGACCGTTGAAGACTGGTAAATCAATTTTGGGCAATCTGACGCAATTGGATTTAAAGGCACCTGTTTGCTGTAAGCTTGCATCCTCGTAGCTCGATAAGGAACGATTCAGCGGCTGCTCGCACTGCCGCGCGGGCCGCGCGCCGAGCACGCTGCGCGCCGCCGCCGCCAGCGAGTGGTACTGGTCCTCGAACTCCTCGCGCTCTAGCTCTTGAGCATCACTGTCGTCTGAAAGCACCTCGATCTGGCTCTGTAATTCGTCATATTGCGTGTATAAGGCATCGAATTTTTTAAAACGACCTTCTAAGTCTAGCAGTTATAAGTCGCTAGGGGGCCCGCCTGATTGCAATACTTTTACGTATTTATTAAATATAGTAACCTTAGATTTAATAGAACTACGTAATTTAATTAATTTTTGTATTTTTTCCTCGGCCATGACAAAGCGGTAATGAAATATTTAAGAGAAAAAAAGTTATAACGCAAAAGTAGTTATAAAATGCAGCGTGAACTTGACCTTGGTATGCAAAGAAAGGAACAGATGGGCAAGCGGCGACCCGGCCGGCCGGCTCAGGTAGATATAGATAAGAAGCGAGCGATTTGCGGAAACAAGATCCCGTTATTCGAGCGCAATGCTGTTGCTGGGCTTATGCAATAATTTGATTTTAGAAGTAAGTATGTGTTATGGAAGAGATTTGATAGTATTTAAGCACATATGACCAAGAGCACTCACTAAAAATAAAGGCTATTTTAAATTTAAATACATGAAAAAGAAGGAAAAGATCACAGGAATAATTGGAACGGGCTCACCAATGACTAAATCTTTCACCAAGGTGGTAATCGTCGATTATGTTGATGATTTCCTGTGTTGAGACGATGACTCGAACTTTCGATGGGTCCAAAGTCCGTGGCACTAGAGGTGGGTCGTCGACGTAATTTTCGTCAACGAAACTAGACCGTCTATTGCCGTCCATCGACTAGGTGATCAACTAGTTGAATATGTCGATTAGTTAACGCGATAACAGCAGACGTTTATTCGACTAAAGCGTGGTGTCTACGGGCACAACGGTACGACGACAGTGTCTTAACTAGTTTTACCCACTGTTCGCGACAGTTGAATGAACTGCAAAGTTAGTTAAAAATTCAAAGAAATTTGATTTGAGCACAAAGGACTCTGACTGGTGTAGAAATACCTACCATCGAATTGTACAATTAATCAATTTAAACTTCCCTTAATGCCTTTCTAGGCTTAGGATTGGCTGAATACGCTTTGAAAAGATTTTACTACTATCGTATTTCAGGCGTAATTAGAAGATCAACTGATTTTATGTACATATATAATTTTTTATTTACATATTTTTATGCATAGGTGTTTTAATGAATATTTTTATTTCCTTTTTTTTATTTATCAATGTATGTACAGAAGAATCGTGTAAATTATTTGATGAATGAATTTAAAACCCTTTAAATCTCTCCTCAGGTGTATTTACATTTAGGAACATAAATTGCTAAACTTTGCTTGTCGTTAGTCTGTTCGCCTATATTAGCATTCGCGAGTCACGCACGACTCCTGTAGCTTTGACCTTGCGACGCGAGTAGACACACTAATTTCAAAGGGGATTGCCCACTCTTCATAGACACTTCGGCCATGGGTGCCCACATATAAAAGCATATAGATATGATAATATGCAATTAAAACAATGAAATGGTTAAGGAATTGCTTTAAAAAAAGTCGGGGTTTTGAAGATATATAAGTTTTATTTTCACAAATGCAGTTTTTTTAACAACTATTTTTATCGATTTTATCGCGTTTTATTTTTTTTATTTTTAATTCCAGACGTTTCGGGTGCTTTCCAACACCCATGCTTACGGCGGACTGAGGTGACTGACGTCCCAATGTCAGTGTTAACTTTTTTTTTTTTTTTTTTTTAAAAAAAAAATTTTTTTTGCCCCTTTTTTTTTTTTTTTTTTAACAGTTTTTTTTTTTTTTGGTTTTTTTTTTTTTTTTTTTTTTATTATAAAAAAAAAAGTTTTTTTTTTATTTTTGGCCGGAGTACCTTTAGATTTTTAATTTTTATTTATGGTCCGATCTACAGAATGAACTTACTGTGTCTTGAAGTCTTGCAATGGTATGCTTGGGTTTAATTTTAATTTCATTAATTACAGGGTCTTAAGCAGGTGGTAGTACCAAGCCTCCTTCTCTATTGAAATTTTTTTTTATTTCAATAGTCTCAGGTATCGGTCCTTGATAGGAATTGATGTACCTTTTAGAGGATTTGTGGTCTATCAAATCTTTTTTATACGTCTATCTGGTTGGGGCCGTCCAGGATATGATCACAAACTGCAAACTTCCCTGAACCTTGATGCTTCATGTCAGCTCGCTTCAAGATGTAGCCAATCTTGTCTGTGACACCCCTGACAAATGCTAGTACTGCACATGCTTGATTGTAGCCGGCTTCACTCGGTCACTGTGACGTAAGCGCGGGCCTGAAGCTTGTTGACGTGCAGAACCTGCTTGACGTGCTGAAGCTCGACGGCTCGATGTTTGCTGCCACAGACCCCTTGTGCTCTCTGTAACAAAGATTTGCTCACGGTAACTAACTGTGAAGGATAATGGCGAAATTCATTGTTTTCTATACATAATGTAGACCTATGGTGTTGTTAGAATTTTGGATGACTAACGCATCTAGGAAAGCTAAGGAATTATTTGCATCTAATTTACACATCAATACATTCATTCAGGAACTGAGCAGGAAGCAAAATATTAGTCTGATGCCGTGCCCAACCCAAATACCATATTACTGTCATAACATGGGCACAGCATCCAACAGTTCGACGGCCGACAGTACTTTTTAATTGCACTTCTACCGGAACCATTGCCACTAATTAAAATGTATATAAAATACACTTTACGACTAATGGTGATGACTTGCAATTCTAGCCCTAAGTAAAGATCAGCTAGGGCTTAAGTTTATTCCTTCCATAATGCTGCTCTTCTGGTTATCACGGAGTTCTATCCGGTAGCAACCATTAAATCTTATATGCTCACCATAATAGTAGCGAGCTTGCTTTAATTGGTATGTGACACAAGCAATTAATATTAAGTCGCTGTAAGTTAAAACAGGAAATTCCCTAACATTTTAAAGTCTACATTTATATTTCTAAAGTCTGCCTGCCCTAGCTCTATTTAGATTGCTTTCCCTAGCATACTCAGAGAAATCATTATTTGTCTCCATATTTTGGTGAACTATTTCAAGTATTTGAGCTGCATCATCCCTGTCCCTTATTTTTGTGTGGAATTTATTAATTATAGCAGCAGCCACAGCAGTCTATCATCAAATGTGTAGAAGCCCTGTTATAGTAATTTTGATGAAATATTTTAAATTCAGTTTTAAAAATGCCATTCACCACCTCTGCTACTCATATCGACACATAGTCACGGCTCTGGATTTATTAGCATATCTTGTCATTAACTGAGATTTACCATCTGCTGGAGACATTGCTGCGGCCCTTAGACATCTACATCTATCCTCTATTACAAATCAAAATGCAGATGCGTTGTCACCCGTGAGGACTATGATCATTTTCTCGTTTCCAGTAAAAAGGGTCTCCGGTTCTCTACACCCACCATACAAAACACAGCAGCATTAAGCTACTATTTTACGCCGGTATTCTGTGAGAGCGTAGTCCTTCCCCGGTCGAACCGACCCATTCATGCTACAACTATACTTCTAATATAACTGCAGCATTTCTCTACCACGTATAACACACGTACATAGTAGTAATGTAGACATACTCGCAATGCTGGTGGAACATTGAGTCCATTGGAATTGTTACAACCAGGTAAAAAACATTGATTTGGTGTTAGTGGCGCTTTTAAATAATTAGTTAGCAGTACACTGTGTAATGTATGATCTAAGCTTTGTTGTTCTGGGTGCAATACATTACTCACTTCAGATTGCAAAGAGGATGGACTAGATGATTCAGATGGTTCCCGTTCTGCAATTGAATGTGATGCTGTTCTATCAGTTCATTGCCAGCAATTATGATACACACGGTTTGACAACGGCAACTGAAATAATGTAAAATACAAAAAATGAAGTCAAAGTGAAAAAAAAATAGATTTGTTTATTTTAAACTCCAATATAAATAAAATATTTATCAAGTTAAATGTTACTGCACAAGGATGGACTTAATGCCCTATATTATTTAATAATTAAGACCTGACAGACTACCAGCAGTCCAAAAAATCAACGGTCTCCTTTCTTGGTAGTTGATAAAAATGGTCAATCTCATAAATAAGCTAGTATGTTTGTCAGATATAGCTTGTGCAGATGTGAAAAAATAAAACAAGTTCTTGAGTTGATATACAATCAGTGTAAAAACATGTCATATCAGATATGAGCATCACACTTAATAAACCAATCTTAATAAATTGACCTATTACGCCAAAATTATATCCAATTAAAAACTGCATTTTCCAACAAAACAAAATAACACGATAACACGCAATTGAATTCTTGTGACATAACAGTGACGGAGACGGGCCTACCTGTCAGATTCGATGTTGCCACTTAACTGTCATAAAATCTATGAAACGATATCGATTTTTATTCGATTAATAATATCATAAAAAGAATAATCTTTGACGCGTTTTAAGTTCTGCACGCTTTTTAAAATATAATTTCCTTTATTTATTGAAATTCCATTTCAAACGTATTTTTAAGAACAGTTAACTTGTGCTGTATTGTTTTGTTATGCTTTAGAAAATTCATGGTAAATCAGCTAGAAATTAACTTCTTGAATTATCATAACATAATTCCATTTTAAATGTTATGTTAAGAACAGATAAGAATAACAGTTAAATTGTGCAGTAGCGTTTTGTTATACTCTAAAGAATTCTTGGTAAATCAGGTAGTAATTCGCTTGTTTAATTATCATAACTATAAATGTGAAGGTTGTCATTGATTTCAACCGAGCCTATAATAACGGTTGTTTTTGTTTTTAACGGTTGACTACCGCTTTTGATGACTTGAAATGGATAAAAACCCATTTTGTGCAATAAGTTTTTTCTCCTTGGTAATAAA